GCCCCGCCCCGCGGCCGCCCCCAGCTCTGCATTTGGCCCCGCCAACCGAACAGCGCAGCCGCTTCGATAAAAGATTGCACACCCACGCCCTTTGCGGCCCGGTGGCCGGGCCGGCGGCCGCCCCGTCGCTCCTGATCGCCCGGCATGCGGCGCGGCCGCGGCGCCCCGTCGGCCCCGCCCCCTCCGGGCTTTTGATGGAAAGCCGCACCGCAAGTCCCCCCGCACCGCCCGGCGTTGATCCGCGATAAACCCCCCAGCTTCTGGGGCCCCGGCCCGGCCGCAGCCGCGCACGGGCGTTTTAGCTTGGATGCTCAACCGCCCCTTGTCTGCACGACGCATCGCCCGCGCGCCCTTGAACGGTAACACGCGCCACCGGTGGTGCCTGTGTTCAGACGACAAGGGATATCAGCTTTTGGAATGGGCAGTACGCTCGTCCGCTGAGCCCGAGCCGCCTCCGAAACCATCCAGCAAGACACGCAGGAAAGCCAGCTGCCCAAGGTGCTGAGTTGATGTCGCGGCTGTACTTTTGCAAGGCCAGCCGCCGGGTGCGGCGGCAGGGGGTCGGCTGGCCCGCCCGCGGGGCGGCCGCGGATCAAGACCAGCTGCCAGGGCTGTTGGGACGAGGAGGGGCAAGGACAGGGCCGGGGATCGGGGAGCGGACTCAAAGACGTGGGGGCACAGGGAGGGGCTAGCGCTGGCGCGTGGGGGCAGCCGTGGGGCCCTGCGTTTGCGCGAGCAGCGAGGGCGGCGCCACCCGGGCGGGCGACGGCCCGGTCTGCCCGCGGCGGCCCGCAGTCTTTGTTGCTGAGTCGCGGAGCGACAGCGTGGCATAGCGGCAGCTTCCACAAGGGGGGCAGGCCGCGCTGGCGTGAGGGGCCGGGTCGTGCCCTGTGTGGTATGTGCCAGTGCTCCTGCCCGCTTCCCATTGGTTTGCGGGGCCATGGATGCAGCAACCACCGCAGGGCGAGCTGTGCAATCCAGGAGGTTGGTGGGTAACTGTTTACAGCAACTCGACTACTGAGCAGCGGGCACGCACGCGTTTACGATTGACCCACGGATGGGAAACCTTGGAACCCTCAAACATCATTCCTGAGATAACAAGCAGGCGGACAATGGCCAAATGGTAACAGCGAAACGCCACAGCAGCCCAGCTGGGGCCACCTGCGACGGCAGCTGCGCCGCGACAACCGTCGGCCCCTCCCGCCTCAAAACGGCGCGCCGCCCGCCGCACCGCGCGCACGCGGAGCCTCGGCGCGGGGGCAGGGGTGGCGCCGGCCCGACCACCGCGCCGGCCGTTGCTGGACGCGGGCAGCACCCAGTGACGTCACGGTGATGTCATCACATCTCGCCGCACTCGGTGATGGTGCAGGGCAGCTTGGGCCTGTTGGCAGGGCCGGTGGCGACGGCCTCGATCTTCCGCAGCACAAGCATGCCGTCCCCCAGCACGCGGCCAAAGACCTGGTGGGGTTGTTTATTTGTTGCGCGTGTGGCGTTGCATATCGAAAGTGAACGGCGGCAGGACAATGTTGTTGCGGGTGGCGCTTCGTGTCGCAGTCTGGGAGCGGGTAGCGGCTCAGGATTTGCGGTCCGCAACGTGTATTGCTAATGGGCCTCAGGAGGGACTGCCTACGCAGACGCGCAGGCCCTGCAGACGTACACACCCGGCGTGCAGCGCCCGTCCTTGGGGACAATATGTGTCCGCGGGACGACATAAAGGCGGCCGCGCCTGCAACCGTGTCAGTCAACATCCAATGCATCAGTGCGGGACCCTGGCTGCCCTAACGGCGCCCTGGCACCCACCACATGCTTCCCGTCCAACCAGTCACACTTTTGGCACGTGAGGAAGAACTGGCAGCCTTCCGGGGGGAAGTCGGAGGGGCGGAGCGGCGGGCAGCGCGGCGGGACGCGTGAGGGGCGCGGGTCGGGTTTGGGATGGCGGCGTGTGTTTGTTGGAGAGGGGTTGGGGGTTGCGGGGTCGTGCTGCATTGGCACCCCTTCTAGGTGGCCTGCCCCTCTTTCATTTCATTGAAAGGGGTGGTTGGGCTCTTGGCCACAATTAAGAGCTCCCCCCTCCCCCTGCCCCAGGGGGCCGAGCGCGCCAGAGCCGGCCCGCACGCGGCGCTCGTTTTGGGGGGGAGTGAGATCGAGAGGGGCCGCTGCCTTGGGGCGCGCCGCGCGCGCACCGTTGGTGTTGGGCCCGCTGTTTGCGCTGCTGAGCAGGCCCGGGCCAGAGTGCTTGGCGGTGAAGTTCTCGTCCGCATACCGCGTGCCGTAGATGGACAGCGACCCGGTGCCGTCGCCCTGGGGGGCGGGAGCGGGAAGTTCGCGGTGAGAAGAAGGGCGCCCCTCGCGGTCCTCTGGGGGCGGCGGGGCGGGGAGCGCGCGGCCGCCTCCGATTCGGCGGGGTCGGCGGGGACTCCGCCGCCGATTCCCGACTGTGGTCGGTTGTGGTATTGCGATTTGGGTTGACTCACCTTTACGAAATCGCCGCCTTGGATCATAAAGTCCCTGCAGAAAAGGCCGAGGGCAGTGAGGTGGTTGGGTTGGTTTATGAGCCGCCGGCCGTCCGTGTTTTTGGGCACTTTAATTGTGGGGCACACGTCAATTTTGCTGGCTTGCGGCCGTGAGGGCGCCACCCAAGTGTTGAGCAACCCTGGGCAGGCGCATGGGCCGGCCGTCGGCTGCCGCCGCAGCCGACGCAGCCGACGTGCGCCGGGCGAGCTGCCGGCAGGGGGGCGCGTTGGTCCAATGGTCGCCGCGCTTCGGCCGGGCGTCATCGCCCGCGCCCGCGCCTCACCGGATGACTCTGTGGAACGAGCAGCCCTTGTAGCCGACGGGCAGGCCGTTCTTCCTGCACACAACGGGCGGCGAGAGGGACGTCGGCGGCGGGCCGGGCGCGGCGCCCGCGGCCGGCGCTTGGTCGCTTGGGCGCCGCCGTGCGCAGAATGTGGCACGGCAGCGCGTCCGTACGGGGCTGCTGCTTTTACGTTATCGCCTCATGCGCCACGCCCATGAGCGGTGTTCATGCAAGTGATCCGCACCTGAACTCGCCGGTGCACAGCTGCCGGAAGTTTTCGGCGGTTTTCGGGGCCACGTCAGCCCAGAGCTCCATCTTTATCCGCCCGGCAGGCTGCCCGCCGATGCTGACATCTGCCAAATGTTTTGAGGGGAGGGGCGAACGCCATGGGCAGTCTGCAAACAGCTGCCTGCGAGCGCTTGCGAGCACGGCGGCGACCCTGGCTTGCGGGTGTGCAGGGCGGCGGGGACCGCTTGTGCGGGCGCTGCTGCGGCGCCACAGCTGCGGCGCAGGCAGAGGCGGAAGCGTCCTCACCGAAAAACACAACGGGGTTGTTGGGGTTGGTCGGCCGCACGTGCCAGCTAGCGTTGTCCGACATGCCTGTCGCTGCTGCTGCCGCCCGCCACCGCCGCCGCCGTCGCTGTTGCCGCCGCCAACCCGCCCCTGCAGTATGTGCTGCAACGCGCAGTGTGCTGCTGCGCGTCTCCCACGACTGTGAACCGCTGCCGGTGTTGGTTATTAATTTGATTTGTGGGGCTAAGTTCCAATATGGAAATTCTACAATATCGAACAGCTGGATGACTATCAGCAGATCTCAGATTGATGTTGTCTGCGGCCTTGACGACCGAGAGGGTCGCAAGCTTCGTTGAAAAGAATGCGCTCTTGTGAGCTTCTGTCGCGAGCAAGGAGTCGTAAGATGTTTTGTACAAAGGGGGAGTCACCAGGTGTCATCGAGCCACTCAGAGACACAAAGGCAACACAGCACTCTACCCCATCGTCGCTGTGTCGCTGGCTGCTTCAACTGTGTAGGTGGCCGACCTGGCTGCCATCATACCGTGCACGCCGCCTAGGCTGTCACTAGCGACACATGCAGCGCCTCCATTGCGCTGTGCCCTAGTTGTCTGCTTGCGGGCGCAACCATTACATACACCGCACTTGCAATTGCAACTGCACCCCCCCCCTCCCGCCCTCATGGCGTTACGTTTGTTCACGCACGGCGCCTTCCCTGTGCCTGCTAGGTGGAATCTGAGGGGCTTACTAATGTCAGCCTCCAGAGTAAAAAGCCAGGCCAGTGCTGAGTGGTTACACAATGCTGGGGAGTGACGCGCCCGGCTTGACCGCAGATTCCACGCATCAGGCACCACTCACTTGCAGTCGCCGCCGGCCGACCCGGGCCCCATCTAAAGGGCGGGGCCGCGAACCGCATGCCGACCCCATCCAACCCCCCGTCGCAGGCCCCACGCAGTATCAAAACCAAACTCACCCGCCGCCAAATCGTCGCGGGAATGCATACACGGGACCACAAAGGTCGGCGCAGATCAATGGCAGCAGCGCTTTGATGCGCGCCGCGCTTCAATGCTCAAGTTTGACTGCTGGGTGGTGCCAACAGATAGACATGCTGGTCACACGTGAGATACAACTGTGCATGGCTTGGTGCAGCGACAGAATGAGCTTCGAGTGCCCAAGGAACGAGCGACGCCTGACTGCACATGCTTTGTGGGCCATGCAGGGCTGGCGACGCACACAGCAGGTGCAGGGTGCGTGGCCACATGCTGAGTCAACAGCAGCAACCAGCCAACACGCCCGCCGCTGACGGCGGTGCAGAGGCCGCGCCGCGGCGGCCGCGGCGGCGCCTAGTCGGAGCAGCAGACGGAAACTTGGTAGCCGTTGCCGCACGTCTTGGTGTTGCTCCAGATCTGGCAGGCAACAAAGCCCTTAGAGTTTTTGCCCTTGCAGCAGTACGCCTGGGTGCCCTCCTCGCTGCAGGCGATGGGTGCGAGCATCGCGAGACAGGGGGCATTTACCGTCAGCAGTGGGATGCATCACACCACGCCCCTTGGCTCGGCGGGCAGGGGGTGATCTTGACTTGCTGCTGAGCGTTGTAGATAGACTGGCGGACAGCAAGAAGATAGATGCAGCAACGATCACGGCTTAACTGAAGCCCTGGCAATCGTCCCTGATGGTTAGGGTTGGTTCAGCGTGCACGCATGCATGCACGCATGCCTACAGTCTGCCGTTGTCGATGCCGGCGATTTTGTATGCCCCTTCTGGGTTCAACCGTTACTCGTTTGGGCTTGGGTTGCGGTGTCTCTTTCCTGTCACCCACCAGTAATCGTGAAGGTCCACCTCACTGCAGTAGTCATCGCCAAGCGCAGCTTCCGCCGCCTTGATGCCCCTCAGGCCCATCCCGGCCGTGGCCATGAGGCCGCGGCGGCGGGCCGCGGGCCCCGAAGGGCCCGGGTGGGGGGTGGCGTGGCAGGCCGTGGGGGCCAGCAGGAGGGCGCAGAGGAGGGCAGCGGCCAGCTTGGAAGCCATGATTTGGGGTCGATTGAGTGGTGTTGTCTGCCTGTCTCCTCAGTGCGGGCAAGGTGTTTCGGTGGATCGGTTGAGGCTGGGTGTGGTCAAATTCAGTAGAGACGGCCGTGGCGACGCGTTTCTACACAGCCGCAGATGCCACTGACTGGACAGGTGTCACCGACCGGTCACACACACTCTCTCACTGGATCTTGCAGGATCTCCTGTGGGCGCGCTAGCACATTGTGCACAATGAGGTGCAGGCGCTAACTTGCAACCATTCCCAGAGACAGGACTTCCATGCACTTCACACACCCAGCAGAGGCTGACGTGTCGACCATGCCTGTCCCGCGTTGTGCGTGTGCGCGCAGATATTCTGCTCAAAATACAGCAGCGATCTACATCTCACCTTTGTGTGTTCCGTGTGCGCGGCTAGGTGGGTTACGGTACGCGGGCAGGTCAGAAAGCAGTTTCGTGGATCAGCAAGGTTTGATCGCTGATCAGGTATCCGCGACGCGCGTGGAGAGCAGCTTGGAGTGAAGTACCAGAATTTCCAAGACGCGGACCTCTGTGACTGGAATGTTTCCACCTGGCCCCATCACTAGTGCCTGACTTCATGAGTGCCTCGCTCGCTGGTGCCCCACTGGCGTCGCGATTTGGGCTTGTTGCGAAAAGAATTTCAAGTTTGGGGCGTGAAATTTCTGGCTTCCGGGCGTGCTGGGTCACCAGCGCGTGCGGGCGGTGGTTGCTGTTGAGGGGGGTCCACATGGCCGGGCTGGGCTGCAGGCATTCGGCATTTTGGGCCGGGGGCCAGCCGGTACGTGCGGGCAGCCGGTCTGGCTTTCCACGCGCCTGCGCTCGCATGTTTCTGTTGCCCCGCACGTCGCACGCCCAGGAGCCGCGTTTGTCCGGGTCAAGGGCGTAGGCTTCGCACCGCATGGTCTGAGCTGTTGTGGGCACACGCCCTCCTTGCTTCCATACAGAGAGGCACAAGCGTGCCTGTACGGTCTTTGTCAAGTGACAATTTTCAGCCATCACCTGCAGCACTTCAAGCACTGCACCCGCCCGGCGTAACGTCCGACGTTCATCACAAACTTTTAGAGGAACTTCCCCGCTGCGCAGCCTGCCCTGCAACCTCGGGTGCCTCACGCAGCTCGCCCCAGCCCGCCCGGCCCGGGGGCCTGACCCCGGATGGCTGGCCACTCGGGGCAGACGCAGCACCCGTGCGGCGCACCCGCACCTCCGTGGTGCTGCGGTGCCACCACATAGGCTCCTGCCTTCAGCGGTATCCAACCCCCAAACGGAATCAGCAGCAGCGGTACGCGCCTGGGCCAAGGTACACCTGGGCTATAGATGGGCGTGAGGCGGGGGCCCCCGCAACACGCTCATGCTATCTGAGTCCAACAGACACATGAGCGCATCCGGCTGGCGGCGGTCTGTCCCCCTAGGTGTCCTCCGCCACCTGCGCCGCCGCGCTGCCGCCGCAGGCCACGCGCCTCCCGGCCCCTGGGACGGGCTTCCCACGCCCGTGCCGGCCCGGGCCAGCAGGAGCACAGTCAACGGTAGCAGTTACAGTGCGTGTCCACCTCCAAACGTCAACAAACGGGGCCTTCTGGCCGGGAGCAAAGATAGGCGATCAAGTAGCAACGTGCAGACACGTCAACGCTGGGGAGGGCAAACCTGAGCCGCCGCTCAAAAGGCCGGCCTCGTTTCGCGTCAAAGGGTTTCGACTCAACATGGCCGTGCCTGGAGTTGCGGGAGGCCCTGGAGTTGCAGCGACTCAGGTTCGAATCCCACCAAGTCGTCGGGTGGATTTCTTGTTGAGCTGCAAGGGGGCAGCCGCGCCCAAGTGGCGGCGCGGCGGCGCCGGGCGCGAAGGGGGAGGTTCGATTGGCAACAGCAAACAGACAGTGACAGCAACTTCGTGTGATCCAATGCAAGCCTGGATTTTGAACTCTACCAAGTCGGCCGGTGGTTGTTGGAAGCGCCTGGCGCCTGGAGTGGGCAGTTATATGCAGCGGTAGTTGCGGGGGAGTGCCAGTGTAGTACGGGGAGTGCTGGGCGCTGCAACAAACAGTGTGCCGGCCGCAGTCTCTGGCGGGGGCAGTGCTGGGCCGTCCCGAGCGCGCGGCAGCAGGCGCTGAGGTGCGCCGGGCCCTGCGAGGGGTCCTGCCACGCGGGCGGGGCGGCCGGAATGAGGCAAGAAACGGATAGCAGCAGCCAAGAGGGCGCGCGTCAAATGACCAATACGTAAATGATGGCTTCAGACAGCTGGCGCCACACACACAAGATGCAGATACAAGGCAGCAGCGGAGCGCCACGCCCGCGGCGCGGGCCACAAGCGGGCAACGCTCGTCCAGCGCTGCGGCTCGCGATGCAGCGACACGCAACAAACCGGCGGCCTTCAAGGCGCCGGCCGACCGGGGCCGCCAACAGCCGCTGCGGCCGCGTGCCGCCGCAAGCGAGGGCGCCCCCGCCGGCGGCGG